CTCTCATGACGATACAGCTGATGGTACTGTATTATTGTTTTAATTAATGTTTATGTACTTTCAAAATTAATTCTTTATGCATTTTAATTGTGTTGTATTATTGTAATTTTTTATATCGTATCGTTGCCTAATGTAAACCGTCATGAGTCCCCCTTTGGGGGTAGAGAAGAGACGGGGTAGAAATATCGGAAATAAATAAATCTATATAAATAAAAATGTAATGTTCGTTTGTGGGATTAACATAACTCAAAAACCACTGGGTGAATTGACACCAAATTTGGACACAATACACCTATCAGGCCAACGAGTGACCATCACTCATAAAAACACTGAAAAACACAGCGGAAGAGACTTAAAAAGCCAAAAAATAAAAATACATTATAATCTATGCGGATAACCACATAAATATACATATACACAAATATATACACAAACATATACACACATACAAAACACATATACGCAGACTGGGCCACAGCAATGCATGGCAAGTAAATAAATAAATACATTTCTTGCCTGGAAAATATTTCAGTTCCAAATTGAACTTATAAAAGAATTTGGCAGATCTGTCTTGGATTTTTTTTAGCACCTCTAAATTGTGGTGGTCAGTATAAACATTGCATTTCAAAGTTCCCTCTTCAAGGAAATGTCTCAACACTTCCAAAGTGACTTACAAGGCTATAGCTTCTTTTTATAAATTAAATGGGTACACAGCACTCAGTACAAGAAAGTCCCACTCAAATATACCTTGCAATGCCAAGAGGGTTCGTCTTTAATACGACGAGACTAGCTCGATCCTTCTTCAAAGGAGGAATCTGCCTCTAATCTTTATTTTGCCTTCCCGGATCATTAAGTCACTAAATCCAATGTTTCTAGTATTTTAATATTGTATTTAAATTACAAGCTGTTTATCTTCTCCAAGTCAGTGCGCAGTTATAATTAGCAAATTGGTTTCACTTTCAACTTCAGCTTCAGCAGCTTCCAAGCAACTTTCACTATCAGGCAGCTTCGGCAGCCGCCCTATCTTCTGCCAAAGCTCATAAATCAAAGCAATTAATTGGTAATAAATTACCTTCTTGGGCTTTTCACATGCTCCAGACTTTCGCCTCCTTTTTTAACCAGAAAGGACAATTATCCATCCATTTTCACTGCTTATTTGCTTATATTTCCACAAGAGCTGGAGGAAAGACGTCTGTTCAGCCGGCCATGGTTAACCCCGCCCCGAACATTACATTTTTATTTATATAGATTACTAGTAATATTACATGTAATATAAATATATAATTATAATATCATATAATTATTATTAGTATTATATTGCATTACATCAGAAATGGCTGATCCAGATGTTTCAGAATAGATTTTGAGCTAAATAAGCATTTTAAATGGCCTTTTGGCACTCCACAACCCACTCTATTCAGATTAGTACAGGTTTGCCTTTATTTTCCTGTTCTTTTTCCCCATCTTGTTTGGTCTTGAGTAAATTGGTCAGTGGCAGCACTACTTTAACAAAATTAAGACTGTATCAAGGACACGTCCTAGGAAGGGAGAGATGGATAATAGAAGTGAATATCTGGATTTGCAGATAGTGACAACAGGATCGATTTGGCTCCCTGGACCATGGTCTGAAGTTTAATGAAATTGGGCTTCTGGCAAGGGATGATCTGCACCTCCCAGAGATTGGCAGGGATGCTTTTTGCTAAGAGTCTCACAGACCTGATCAGAAAGACTTTAAACTAAGTTATCTGGGTAAGAAAGACAGAATTTGTGATGGCAGGAGTTGAACAGGAGAAAGACCCAAACAGTTATAGAGAAAACTTGGGATTTTATTTTAGTGAAATAGCAGGAAACACAGCAGGTATTTAATTTGATGATCAGTTACTTTAAGGATTTTAGAAATAGGTTTAGACTGAACTTTAGATCGAGAATGAAAAAATTGAATTCTCAGAGTAAAGAATAGAGGAAGTAATGAGCACAGGAATGAAAAGTAACAAAGGGTAGGGTTGGGATGAGGGAGATTTGTGATGATCTGGGCCTCTTCCACACAGCTGAATAAAATCCCACATTTTCTGCTTTGAATTGGAATATATGGCAGTGTGGACTCAGATAACCCAGTTCAAAGCAGATATTGTGGGATTTTCTGACTTGATATTCTGGGTTATATGGCTGGAATGTTGGAGGAGCAGCAACTATGGAGAAGATAGGCAAATATGGTGATCTGAACTGGGATTAAGAAAGGCTTTTTTAAATAGAAAAATGTTTTCCCCCAAGAACCATGCAAATGAGTTTCAGTATATGATGATGACATAAGAGTTTAATGCAACTTTTGCCATTTGTAGTGGATTCAATGTGAAGGAAAAGGCTACAAAACGAAGTTGGTTGATTTCAGAAATTTATTTATTAAGGTTACCAAGATGGATTTATAGGGCTTTTGAAGGTTTAGATGCCTGGATGGGATATGAACTAGGGTGAGTGTCTATATCAAATTAATTGTGGAAAGTTATAGAAAATAAAGAATAATAATGTAATAGAATGTATCGTCGAAGACTTTCATGGCCGGAATCACTGGGTTGTTGTAAGTTTTTCAGGTTGTATGGCCATGTTCTAGAAGCATTCTCTTCTGACGATTGGCCTGCATCTGTGGCAAGTAACCTCTGAGGATGCTTGCCACAGATGCAGGTGAAACGTCAGGAGAGAATGCTTCTAGAACATGGCCATACAACCTGAAAAACCTATAACAAACCAATGTAATACAAAGTAGAGGGAGATGTGTGTGAGTGTGTGTGTGTGTGTATAAAAAACAAACAGCAAATGAGTGTAATTTTTCCTTGGTGATTGGTTGGGAGACTCAGCTGATTTTATCCTAGGGCCCCTCTACACGGCCATATAAAAGACAGATTATCTGCTTTGAACTGGATTATACGGCAGTATAGACTCAGATAACCCAGTTCAAATCAAACAATGTGGATTATCTGCTTAGATAATCTGGATTATATGGCAGTGTAAACTTTGGAGAGGTGATAAAAGGGGACTTGAGCAGGAATAACATTTAAGAGAAGCATTTATACTTGAGAGAAAAGCAAGAGAGGTATTTGACTTAGGTTTGCAGAAGACTAATAGTAATATAGGATAAATATAACTAAAACTTACCTACTAATGCAAATAATTATATATTAATATTTGAATGATTTTTCTAGTATGAATCATATATTCAGTTATTATATGTAGCAAAAACAAATAGTGAATGTTTTTCTTTTTGTATGAGAATGTCGTGACTCCTCAAATATCAGTTCTGCCTTCCCAATATATTATTTTTTAATCTCTCGCTACCTCTATCTATATAAATAAAAATGTAATGTTCGTTTGTGAGATTAACATAACTCAAAAACCGCTGGATGAATTGATACCAAATTTGGACAGAATACACCTCTCAGGCCAACGAGTATCCATCACTCATAAAAACATTGAAAAACATAGCAGACGAGACTTAAAAAGCCAACCCCCCCAAAAAAACCCATTACAACGCATGTACAAAACCACATATATACACAAACACACCCTCAAAAATATATACACACACATATATGTGTATATACACACACAAAACACATATACACAGAAAGGAGGAAGGAAGGAAGGAAGGAAGGAGAGAAGGAGGGATAGAAAGAGGGAAGGAAGGAGGGAAGGAGAGAAAAAAAAGAAATGTAGTGAAGGAAGGAGAGAAGGAAATAAAAATGAAAGAAGGAAGGAAAGAGAGAGGGAGGGAAGGAGAGAAGGAACAAAAGAGAGAAAGAAGGAGGGAGGGAGGGAGGGAAGGAAGGAAGGAAGGATGGAATCAAAGAGCAAAGGAAGGGAGGAAAGAAACAGGTAGAAAAGAAAGAAAGAAAAGGGGAATGAAAAAGGGAAAGATAAAGAGGGAAGGAAGAAAAGAGGGAGGAAAGGAAGGAGAGAAAGAAAGGAAAGAAAGAGGGAGGAAAGGTTTGGTCACAGTCACTCATAAAAACACTAAAAAAACACAGCGGAAGAGACTTTAAAAGCCTAAAAAAATCCCCATTACAATGCATGCCCATAACCACATAAATACACATACACACAAATATATAAATACACACATATACACATATATATGCACACAAAACACATATACACAGACTGGGCCACAGCAACGCGTGGCAGGGAATGGCATATATATATGTGTGTGTGTGTGTGTGTGTGTGTGTATAGTGTGCGTGTGTGTTTGAAGAAGGTGTGATGCTTATAATATAAGTTCTGTGCCAAAGAAAGGGATGATAGTGACTCTCCGTTCATGTGACAATCACAGATCAGAATTCTAACTTGGGGGTTTTAAGGACATAGTGTTTACATACAGTTCAAAACAGATGACCAAGAAGAATGCATTTTTTCCTTTCCCCCCAAATACCTTAGACACTATCTATTTCAATGCCCATATTGTCTGAAAACAACTTGTACTAGTGCGAATATCCTAGAAGGTATCTCTTTCAAATAATAAATCTCACATTACCAGATCTGGAGGTGAGACAAGATACATTCAGCTTGCCTGGTACATTACCAGAGACAATTTCAAAGATAATGAGGTCTGATATTATTGTCAAAATAATGGAGAAGATGTAATTTGCTTGATACTCAAAAACACAGCAACAATAATAGTTTTTATACAAATATTTTCCTACCTATACAGTTATGAAATTCAGAGACTAGGCACAGGATAGTCAGCTAACAAATATGGTTGTTCCTGGTGGCTCAGTTAGGACTCTCACTGTTAAAAAGATTATTTCAGTTTTGGGGAAAGGGCCCTAAGAAATAATCATACCTCCAGGAGGGTTCACTTTAGTGGCCTATTAAAAAACCGTTTTTAGAAGTGGGATTTGTAAAAATGAAGATTCCTATTCCTTAGGTCCCAGAACAGATGTAGGCCTCCTAGAAGTACTGCAAATTACCCTAAATATTGCTCAACAATACATAACTGAAGGATCGCTTACCTGCATTATAAGGATACACATCCCAGCTGTCCCAAGAATATGCTTATTATCATCAAACCACATCTTCACTTTTTCATAGCAACCCTGGGACAAAAAAATGGTATTTTAAATGATTTGATAAGACAACTAACATAAGCATGGTAAAAAAAACCCTTACATTAAAATATCAAAATCTAAGAGAGTAGCATGCACAACATGATGCAGATATTTTCTTCTACTTAATCTATTTTGTCTTCTCATGTCAGAAATGAATACTGATTTTAATGTATTTCTTGTGTTAACAGTTTATGTCTATGTTTTTGTTTTATATTGTATATTTTTGTATTATTTTGCATATGTGGAAACTACTCTGAATCCCCTAGGGGAGATAGGGTGGTATACAAATAAAGATTATTATTATTATTATTATTATTATTATTATTATTATTATTATCTATGTTGAACACATCACAAACAGAAGTGATAATGTCCAGAAATAAATGAATATATAAATATATTGCCAGTTCTTATTTTATGTCTTATATGTTAACATATTTTATTTGATAATATCTGAATATCTTCAAATTTTAATTTTGAGTATAATATGCTGGTGTCTTTTAACCTGGAGTCAAGATGGATTAAATGGCTAACTTTGGGATAAAACACATTACCCTGTATTTGGACACAGCAGACTGATTCAAGTGCTGCACTGGACTTTATGGTGGTATACAAGGGGTCTAAGCCTTGCAGACTCCATCGAGTCACTGGGCAATGCAGACACCCACCACCCACCAGGCCCCCACTCTGGATCAGCACCGATATACGAATCCCTTGCAAATGGGCCGTTAGAAAGCTCCTTCCTAGGGTGTATCTTCTATTGTTGTTTATTCATTCAGTTGCTTCTGACTCTTTGTGACCTCATGGACCAACCCATGCCAGAGCTTCCTGTCAGCTGTCACCACCCCAAGCTCCTTCAAAGTCAAACCAGTTACTTCAAGGATACCATCCATCCATCTTGCCCTTGGTTGGCCACTTTTCTTTTTCCCTTCCATTTCCCCCAGTATCATTGTCTTCTTCAAGCTTTCCTGTCTTATAATGTGGCCAAATTACTTCATCTCTGACTCTAATATCCTTCCCTCCAGTGAGCAGTCAGGCTTTATTTCCTGGAGTATGACCTGGTTTGATCTTCTCATGGTCCAAAGCACTCTCAGTATTTTCCTCCAGCACCACAGTTCAAAAGCGTCTCTTCCTTCGCTCAGCCTTCCTTATGATCCAGCTCTCATATCCATAGTATCTGTCAGTGGCATTGGCAAGCACAGCAAGGCAGGAACAGATCGATCACAGCCACCTTGGGCTATAAACTACTTTATTTACAGCTATATACATTAGAAGCTACTTAACACTAAGCACATAGTAAAACTTGCTTCCTTTCCGACCGATCATAGCATCACGAACACACAGAAGAGTTATCAGTACTAGTCCACACCTCCTGCATTCCAGAATGACGTATGACATACGACACAGCGTCCATTTGCTCTATACACTTGATTTATGACCTCTCTAGGAATGCCGTTCCCTCCATGGTTCAGTTAACTCTTTCCATACAGGAATACACTCGGCACAAAGCTACTACATTTTAAACATACATACATACTTTGAAATCTACATTACAAATTGCAAACAGCACCAACAGTATCTTCTATACTGTAGAATTAATGCAGCTTGACACAGCTTAATCTTCCATGGTTCAATGCAATGGAATCATGAGAGTCGTTGTGCTGGTACAGCTGTACCAGAAGCTCCAATTTTGTTTGCTTTGCATTTAATGTTTGTTGCAGTCCTAAGTTTCAGGGACTCTGCGGATAGGTGGCTTCTTTTGGCTGCAATCATAGGACAAGCCACCTGTCAATTATAGTTAGGTTCCCTGGTCCCGCCCCCTTTTTTGGGTTTTTGGAGGGAATAGGAGGCAGTTTGGGTTCAGTCCACACAAAGTAGCTTTCCACACAGGACATGAAACCAAGAGCTCCTGTAGAAAGCTTTGTGTTCTACGGCTTGGCCGGGGAGATATACAGCCTACAGCTTGGCCGGGGTTATACAGCCCACAGCTTGGCCGAGGATCATACAGCCTTACAGCTCCTTTGCGGAGGGACTTCAGCCAGCTATCACTGAAACCTTTTCCCTCGGAAGTCTACAAAGCTCTGCTTGGTAAGGGTCGCTCGCGGAAGCCAGACGCAGTTGGTACCGGGTGCAGGGGCTCCACACCAACAGAGGCAAAGACAGACTGCCCAGATTAGAAGTTAAGGATTTCCCCATTAGTTAATTACAGTTAAGAAGATAGTGTCTGTTCCCAGTGAACAAGATTACAAGAGCCAATAGACTGTTTGTTTTAAAGCCTGAAAGTACCTGTTTGTTTCCATCAATAAAGAACATTGTTGAACCTTTAAGCAATCTAAAGACTCTGTTTGGGGGAATCCAAGGGCCTTTAATCAGAAGCAGCCCCGGCATCCCGTTGGGCACACAGAATTTATGTCCTGTCTTCAGTCTTATGCACAGGCCCAGCGTGCAACAGCACAATTGTAGTTTGGTGAGGCACCAGCACTAACTAGTTCTGGTGCCTCACCAAATTGCCATAAGATTCGTCTAAAATCCCTGTAAAGCTACAACTCTCAGGATTCCTTGATACTGAGCTATAGCAGTTAAAGTGGTGTCAACTGAATAAATTCTATAGTATAGATGTATGCCTGGGTAACTTTCTACTAGCAGGCTAAGAAGGATGGTAAAAACTTGGCTGTGGGACCAAGCTTTCAGGATAGTGCAATAAAGCAGCGATAGGAAACTTTACCAGGCCAATTAGATTTGACACAGATGACCAAGTCAGGTTTAAACAGTGTATTTTAATATTGAGATCAATGTTTTTAATGATTATTCTTGTTATTCTTGTCCCGGCATTGAATGTTTGCCGTATATATGCTGTGCTCCGCCCTGACTCCTCTTCAGGGTGAGAAGCGCAGAATATAAATGTTTTAAATAAATAAATAAATAAACAAAACTTTTAAGATTGACTTATGTGATATGTAAGGGTTTTTAAGTTTCTAATCTTATTGTAATCCATTGTTTTCTAAGGAAGCTTATAAAGCTTTTTGGTTTGCATTTCAAACCTTGGAATTAATTTGTTGCTAAGACTGTGAGGCTTAGTAAATTATTTTAGTCGTTTGGTCTTAATCAACAAAATGTATAAATTAAATGGCCTTATACAATCATCATAGGGTTGGCAACCTTTACACACCTATACTCACACAAACATGTTAGTTTACGTTATGCTGCTTTCTGACTTCTGTACCACAGTCACTCTTTTTCTGCAACACTATAGATGTGCAGCCATTTTTCTTCCCTCTATTCATATATTTATTTATGCACAAGTTTTCTTAAGTAAAGAAGTGTTAATGCATTTTTCAAAGAAGAGTAAGTATGCTTCTTTTTCTATTAAATCCTGCATGGATGGCTGACCGTGGGTCTTTACCTTCTGCCTTGTCAATTTGTTTAGTCTACTTGATAGATCTAGTACTATCCTCACATTACCCCACAGTATTTCCCGTGACACTGGAAATTGCTGGAGAGATTCTTGCTACAGACTCAAGACTTTGGCACTATATTAGCAAAGCTGACATCCTCTCGAGTCACACTTGTTCTAATTCTTCTAACTACTTTGCTTCCACTCCATGGGAAGGGACACTAAGGCCCTATAGCATTGGGACTGTGGCGCAGCTGGCTGGGAGTCAGCTGCATTAAGATCACTACTGACTGAAAGGTCATGAGTTCGAAGCCAGCCCGGGTTGGGGTGAGCTTTTGACCAATTTGTGTAGCTTGCTATCGACCTTTGCAGCCCGAAAGACAGTTGCATCTGTCAAGTAGGAAATTTAGGTACCACTTATGCGGGAAGTCTAATTTAACTAATTTACGAGGCCATAAAAATCCCCAGCAAGCATGCAAAGAATGAGGAAGTACTTCATCAGTGTCACAAATGGACGGTGAAGCGACAGCTCTCCTGGTGGCAAGAATACCCTCATGAAAAGCTGGAATATTAAATCGCCTCTGTGTGTCGGTCTATATATGTTGTGTGTCCATGGCATTAAATGCTTGCCATGGACACACAACATATATAGTACATTGTAATCCGCCCTGAGTCCCCTGCAGGGTGAGAAGGGCGGAATATAAATACTGTAAATAAATAAATAAAAATAATAATAAATATATCTCCGACTGATTCTACACAGCCGCATAATCCAGATAAGAATGTCGATTAAAGAAATCCATTTCCACTCTGGAGAGACTTCACACACACCCTGGGAACTGCGAAAAACCTCTTGTGATGCTGACAAAGTTCCCCCATGCTGAATGGATGCAACAAAATGACATTTTTTTCTTATTTCATTGAGAAAAATGTGCTGGACTACAGCAGCCCATCAAATGAGAATCAGCAATGGAACTCATCTTCCAACGCAAAAAACAGGGAGGGAGATTTCCCTGGGGGGTGGGGGACAGGTTTTTTTTAACCTTCCTGAGAGTGCCATATCCCATTCGTTTATCCAAAATTTCCAATGGCATTGTTTACATGAGTGCTATCCATGTCCCTCCCAGATTTCCGTTCCCCAGCATCCATACACTGATAAGCTGTAGAACATTTTATCACCAATTCTGGACTTTCCCCTGACTTCTTAAACATTCAGAGTGACGAGAGTGGCGGGGGGGGGGGGGGGGGGGGGAACAGTTCCACTGTGCTATGCTAATAATATAATATAATATAATATAATATAATATAATATAATATAATGAAATATAATATATTGTATATACATATAATATTTATAATATTATAATGTAATACAATATAATACTAATAATAATGATATTATAATTATATATTTTATATTACATGTAATATTACTAATAATATTACAATATAATGGTATAGTACAATATAGTAATATATAATACTGATATTGTACTATGCTAATCATATAATGTATTTTGTGTGTGTGTGTGTATGTATATATATATATCTTGTAAGCCGCTCTAATACCCTTTGGGGTGAGAAGGGTAGCATATAAATGTCGTAAATAAATAAATAAATAAATAAATAAATAAATACATATGTAGAAGGAGCCTGCACTGCATTATGGTTAACTGCATCATGAAATTGCATTATATACCAATGTAGATTGGGCCTTAGGTACAATTGTGTTTTCTTCCCTAGCCATTTCACTGTTCCAGAAACCAATCAGTGCTTTGATGCAATTGCCTGCCCAAGTTAGAGGAATTTCCTTATCGCAATCCATTAACCAATGCTTCAAGTCCAAAGAAATCTAAACACCAGTGAGTAATGGTGACTATGGGTCATTACAACGCAACTGCTAGTCATCATATTCTTACTAGCAGTTAAAACCAAGTCCAGAATATGATTTGCTTATGAGTAGTGCCAGATACTTGCTGGAACAGAACCATGATTGCCATATAAGGTATGAAGCCCTAAGCTACTCCGCAGCATAGCCTAGGAAAGGAAATGGAATTTCCCCAGCATAACAAACAAAGTATTATCCCCAAAACTGTACTAGCTCCATCAGGAAGGCAGACTTTATGCAGCAGTGTGGGCAACACACCAGCAGTATCCCTAGTCTATCTCCTACGGATACCCACCTTCAGAGATACATGCTCAAACCCAACGGGCTGTAGGACAGGTGAGGATGCAAGCATGGAATCTAGTACAACTTTACTTCCTCACCTGACCTTCTTCTGCCAGACCCCCTCTGGACAAAAGTAGAAGAGATTTTGCCTGTTCCCTAAACTTCATCCAGGCAGATCTCTGTAACGCAGTCTAGGTCAGCAACATAGTTCAGGTTTATATATCCTGAATGGCTGTTATCCAAAGCACAAACATGGCATTCAAGAGCAAGACTTTCCATTTGGAGAGCCCACCACCAATGCTAAGGGATATGGAACTTTTCCAACAGTCTGTCTCCTTACTCCATATTTCTATGTATCCTCCTTCTTCCCTCAGTGATTCCAACAGCAGCTTCATGTTACTGCCCCACTTTTCCAAAACACAACTTGCCAACAGCAGGTATACATTTTAGTGGCTCCAATTTAGAGATGAGTAAAATCAAGCTGCCTCCTTCTAACAGAGGAAAGCCCTTGAAGTATTTCTCTTGAACTGTTCCGCCCCACAGAGCAAATCTTTTGGTATGGCTCCATTTGGTAATTCCAAAAGGCTGGGCTTTCTTTGAAACAGAAAGTGATGGAGGCCCCTGGGGCCCTGCACTAGCCCACTGGAAGGACCTGTTTCGTTATGTGTGTAATTAATAGCCATGCCAGCTAGTTACTTCTAAATAAACAGGAACATTTATGACATTAGATTTACTTCCTGGGTTAGATAAAAAGCAAACTCCAATTTACATATAAACTAGAATTACCGTTTTCCACACTAAACTTGTGTTGGTGGAATTCCGACCACAGTCTTGTGAATTTTCCATGCAGCATCTGTCAGGAACAATGTTTTCACCCAACACTGGGTACCAATCTTTATAATCCGTAACCCCACAGCAATGCATCTATAAAAAAAAGGGGTCGGGGTGGGGATGACAATGTCCTTTGTTAAAAACTGTATTTGAAAGCATAATTCAGAATTTTCTGGCTATCGTAAAAAAACTATCTAGATCACAATTACATTATAGACTTTTATATCAATTTTTAAAACATTAAGTTCTTTTAAAGTACTTGTTTTAAAGAAACAAGCACCACCCCCCCCCCACACACACACATCAAACTCAAAATTGTATATGCCACAACAATCAAATAAGTTCTTTTCACATGACATATGTAACATTGTCAAAAATTTGTTTGTTTTAATTATTACAATACATTTTGCATATTCATACCAAAAGAAAATAGGCAGATTTTCAATTCATGTAAAAATTATATCCTTGGTGAGAAATGAGCTAGGAAGATAATACACTGCTAGATAGAAATGCAGAGTCTGTAACTCCATTGTGCATCATTGGTTGGAAAATACAGTTTTAATGGATATGTGGTCATACACATCCACTGAAGAGTTAAGTAGGTGGTGATGTGGAATTTTGAGGGGCAGGTTAAAATGGCTGAATCATAACCATGTGGCAGGCATCATGAGAATTGTATCATATCCTGTTGTCCCTGTTTAATGACGAGAAGCAATGGGTATAAATGTAGGTAGGGATAAGGGATGCTCAAGCTGCATCAACATTTTGAATTGGGTCCACAAAACTGTTTGGGAAGTGTGTTTGCTTCTAGTATATATAATGTGTTTGCTTCCAGTATATATTGATGTTTGGTGATATACTGTTTTTAATATGATTTATGTCTAATGTATGGTTTTACTATTGTAGTCGTAAGGCATTGAATTTTTGCCATTATCTATGTGTAAACCGCTTTGAATCCCTCTAGGAGTGAGAAAAGTGGTATATAAATACTGTAAATAAATAATAGCAAACATGTCCTCTTGCCATGACTATCACTTCTTGCTGTACATCTGTCATGAGTATATTTCTATATACCGATAAGAGCTCAGGGGATCCTTATGTCTATATAGCTGTACTGATAAATGACTTTGCAATGTTTGGATTTATTTTTATAGCTTGCCCTGAGACAATCAGTCAGGTGTGCAGTGTATGGAGGATGTCATAGAGGAAAGAGAAAACTATAAACCAAGAGGGCAAACATTCAAGAAACTGCTCTTCAAAACCTTGGATAGTCAGGCTGTTGAGGCCCCATAAGAGTGTGAAAAACTTAAGGGACACTAAAGCCCTATCTCCGGCTGATTCTACACAGTGGAAGGATGGGAAATTCAGAATCAAACTCATGTGGGCTGCTTATGCCTTGGGTTCAAGCTTCCTCTATTTCTAATTTCCCAGAATGCTCAAAAACCCCTTTCCGGGTGATTTTAGGCGCTTTTTAGGCCCCTCCTACACTGCCAAATAAAATCCAGATGATCTGCTTTGAAAAGGATTATATGGTAGTGTAGAATCATATAATCCAGTTCAAAGCAGGTAATGTGGATTATCTGCTTTGATGATCTGGATTATATGGCAGTGTAGAAGGGGCCCTAGTTACTGAATAGGTTCATAGTGAGACTAGTACTCTCACCATTCACCAGGCCTAAGGCTGTTCGATACTTTAAACCAAAACCTTGAATTTGACCTGAGAAACAACTGGCCATTAATGTGTATAACACCGACATCCCATTGGCAGGTAAACTATAGTAAGTGCATAAGTGGAGAGGGTGTTATTTCACAAAGAAATATTCTACTGTATTTACCTCTGCTTGAATGATATTCCATGCATTCTTCAGCCCGACATTATTCTCTGTGTTGTAAAGCTTGAGACCTTCCTTTAAATCTTGCTTTGCATTTTCATTAACCTGTGTTTTATACGACAAGCATTAGCAATATCAGAATGATTTTGAGTTATTTAGACATGGGGCAGAATCTCTTCATTGTGCGTCTCAAGATGATCTCAGGTTTGCAAGCAGAGTCATATGAGATATGATGGCAATTCTGTATTAGAAGACCCTTTAAGATTGATCTTTAATATGTGAAAAGAGCAGTGTTAGTTAAAGGAAATCTAGTACCTTCTCCTACGGAATGTTTTTGAAAAGCCATAAAACTAGGACCCCATCTACACGGCCATATAACACAGTTTCATAATGCTGTATAACTATATTGAACTATGTTATACGAGTCTACAATGCCATATAATGCAATTCAATTATGAAACTGCGTTATATGACAATGTATATGGGGCCTGGGGCTTTGGTATTCTAAATTTACTTTAAAAGAGAAACGAGTTGTTGTTGTCACTTTAAAAACAACAGGCAGCCCTAGAGGCACCAAAGATCAATGTAATATTTGAAATGTTTCCATTCTGAAATACTGTTCTTAAGCTCACCTAGCAAACTCCAATGCTTTTGGCATCAATCTCTCTCAAAATCGTCCATCCTGACACATTCAGTTCATGTTTTTACCCTCAAGCATTAGAGAAATCTTAAGTGACCCTCATAAAATGGAACTTGCTATTTTGGTTTTGACATCTAATAAAAAATATTACAAGACTAAATCAAAAAAGGTACTGAAGAATGACAGCCTGTATGGAGTCCTATATAGTGATAGTTATATTCACTTTGCTTTATTATACCCTTTGCTTTATTATACCTTTTCTGTCCACTTTTAGGAAAGATTTTCTGCCAAATAGACTTCAAATGGATCTGAAACACTGAATTTCTTATAGATTTCTAACTAACCTGTACTGAGATGCAATGGGTTTGCTAAATAGTAACTCTGAAACTTCACTCATTACTATAAAAATATTCAAAAGTAGAGTGGCTTGTTTTTCCAAAAGTATTACACAGGGATTTGGCTGTATATTTTGCTCTAGGGCTGCATTTATAGAAGTTTTTAAAAGATGTTTTTGGAATCCGGGCCTGATAATGGCTCAAGCGGGGACCAACTAGCATCCTGATATAATGGGTGAAACCCAGAAAAATTGGGGATTTGGCAACCCTAGTACTGCAAAACATCACACAGGGCCAAAGACTTAGGAAAAGGTTTTCCCTTGACATTAAATCCAGTCATGTCCGACTCTGGGGGTTGGTGCTCATCTTCATATCTAAGTCGAAGAGCATAGACACCTCCAAGGTCATGTGGCCAGCATGACTGCATGGAGCGTCGTTACTTTCCCGCCAGAACAGTACCTATTGATCTACTCACATTTGTATGATTTTGAACTGATGGGTTGGCAGAAGCTGGGACTTAGTTCCCCATTTTGTTGTAGATCTTAACTCTGTTGAATGTAATATTTCTATGGAATCTTCTTCCATACCATTTGTACCTTAATGTGTTATTTATTCTAAGGAATAAAAAGAGGGAAGTAAAGGGCGAAATAATTGAATGGAACTATGTAAACACTTACCTTGTCCATATAAACAAAGAACAATATTAGTAGTATCAGCTCAGCCAGGAGAATGATCAGCAAAACAATGAAAAACTGAAAGAAAGCATAAACGGAACAAAGAAAAACATTACAATTGGAGAAGGTGGGGGTTATTCAACAAAACTGAAGACAAAACCATGAGTTAATTTGTACGACAATTTTACCATACTTAAACGTAATTAAAGCAATATACATGAACATACATTGTAAGTTTATGTCTAGCAATAAACGTTGTATCCCCATTTTCTTTTCTCCTCCAACATTTGTTGTATGTAGCTCAATTCTTTTTATTTTGCTACCATGTGAAGCTCTGTTTGTTTTTAATCTTATCTTGAAAATGTGAAATATTTAAGAGGAACCTGAGGCATGGAGCATGTATATGAGAAGTGTTTGTTTAATGTCAATCTCAGTAGTTATTGAGTGGCTGCATGAATGCAATAATGTCTATTAAAAATAGTAATGCAAAAGGTGGAAATCAAGTTTGGAAGTTTACATCCCTCTAGGCAACAATGCACAAAAGTGTTTTGTTGTGGAAAGCACCAGTTTTAATAGCATTTCCAGCCAGAATCATACAATCACTGAGTCTTAGAGTTGGAAGAGACCACAAGGCCATCCAGTCCAACCCTCTGCCATGCAGGAAAATACGTTCAAAGCACTCTTGACAAATGGCCATCTTGACTCTGTTTCAAAATCTCCAGAGAAGGAGACTCCACAACACTCAAAGGCAAGCGTGTTCCACTGCCAAAAAACCCTTACCACCAGGAAGTTCATCTTAATGCTTAGAGCAGTATTTCTCAACCTGGGGGTTGGGACCCCTCGCGTGGTCGTGAAGGGGGTGTTAGAGGGGTCGCCAAAGACAATCAGAAAACCCAGCAACTATAAGTCCCAAATATCAAGTCTCCTCCCCACCCCCAATTCCACCAGTGTTCACATTTGGGCATATTGAGTGTTTATGCCAAGTATGGTCCAGATCCATCATTGTTTGAGTCCACAGTGCTCTCTGGATGTAGGTGAACTACAACTAAAAAACAACTCAAAAACAACTCAAAAACTCAAAATCAATGCCCAACAAACCCTTCCAGTATTTTCTGTTGGTCATGGGATTTCTGTGTGCTAATTTTGGTTCAATTCCATCATTGGTGGAGTTCAGAATGCTCTTTGATTGGTGGTTTACTATAAATCCCAGCAACTACAACTCCCAAATGACAAAATCAACCCCCCACTCCCACCCCACCAATATTCAAATTTGGGCATATCGGGTATTTGTGCCAAATTTGGTCCAGTGAATGAAAATGCATCCTGCATACCGGATATTTATATTATGATTAATTAAAGTAGCAAAATTACGGTTATGAAGTAGCAATGAAAACAATTTTATGGTTGGGGGTCACCACAACATGAGGAACTGTCTTGAGGGGTCGTGGCATTAGGAAGGTTGAGAACCACTGGGTTAGAGGGAATATCTTTTCCTGCAACTTGAATCCACTGCTCCGTGTCCTAGTCTCTAGAACAGCAAAAAATCAGACTTGCCTCCTCCTAAAAGCTTTGAATTGATTCTGTAATTCCAAACTCACAGAATGATTCCTGATCCATATACTTTTATGTGTCACTTCACTCCAAGTGCCAACTTCCTGTGTTTGGAAAGTGACATTCTCCTGAGAGACAATCCCTCGTGTTTCGCTTCCAAGACAGTCTGGCTCCAAGAACACCTTGTTCCCCCTAATCTGTTAGATTGTGAATACATGGAGCTCAAGGCTTCCAAAAAGGCCAGCAACTGGCACTTTCTGTAAGTATAGCTAACCACATGCTTGAGCAAGAATAGAAACACACTACAATTATTGTAGATAACTACATGAGCTCTGCACCATTCAGTTTTAGTGGAATTAAGTTGGTAATGCAGGGGTTCTCAAAAATTTTCAGCCATGGAGCAAAAGTTTCTCATGGAGCCCCAAGAAATGTTTAGATATGATAGTGTGTGTGTGTGTATCAGACAAGGGCAAACTTTCAAAGAACAATTTTAATCAACATAAACCCAGTAGATTCACATTAAGGAAAAGCTTTATGAGAACTACCACTCCTCTTGGCATCCCCCCAGCAATACCAAGGGTATCCCTCTGGGCAGCTAAACCAGGAAATCCCAACTGGATGCCCCCCCCCCCACAAGGGTCTTTTTCCAGATGCAAATGAAGAATGGGCAACTTGGAAGTCCCTGAACATACTCAGAAGTGGAGTGGGCAGATCAAAAAACAACCTGACAAAATGGCACTACCTAAAAGAATCCCACACCTTGTGTGACTGTGGAGCAGAACATACAACTCCACATCTGTATGCTTGTCCACTATGCCCTGCCTCATGTACAGAGGAAGGATTGTTGGAGGCTACAGACAATGCCGTTGCTGTTGCCCGTTTTTGGTCAAAAGATATTTAGCCGCCTGCACACCTTCTATTTTTTATCAGTCTTATACTAATTTATGCAATGCTTTTGATATGAAATAAATAGAAAAACGAACATAAACAGTATTTCAGTGGAAGACCCCAGGGGCTATCCAGTGCAACCTCCTTCTGCTATGCATTAAAAGCACAATCAAGGCATCCCCAACAGATGGCCATCCAGCCATAATAATAATAATAATAATAATAATAATAATAATAGTCCAGGGGCTACCTAGTTCAACTCCCTTCTGCCATGCAGAAAAAACACAATCAATGCATCCTCTGAGCGGTGGGAAGAAAACAAGGTTTTGGAAGCAAGGGAGGTGAGAGAAAAAGACTTTTGGTGGCAAGGGAGGTGAGGGAAGGGGAGGAGCAGGAAAGAAGATGGAAAGTTTGGAGGGAGAGGAGGAGGAAGGAGGAAAATGTGGAGCCCCTCAGTATGATTCGCAAAGCCTCAAGGGCTCCATGGAAAACACTTTGAGAATCCCTGGTTTGCCCCTCCTGTCCTTAAGAGGACAGAAAACAGTCACATGGCACTCACCATAGCATATGGTAAATATTCCAATATGCTTTTCAGATCGTTCCTCAAAGTAAGAACCATACAGGGCCATTTACTTTGCTACTAAGCTGCTATCCGTTATAGTGATTGCAATTCTGCCTTTGTCCTCCCCACTGCAAAGATGATTTCAGTCAGCAGATGGAATATCAAAACGAAAGAGAAGTCTGGATCATAGTGGACTCTTAAGTATACAATTTTAAGTCAGAGCTTAACTTCCGACTAACAAGATAGGGAGATGTGGGAAAGATCAAGTTCCTAGTTGGAGAAACAAGGAGAATTACATATGCTTTCAACTTACACTAAGGAGAAGGCACTTATTTTCCTTGATAGCACCCAAGCACCCCAGGAAGCCGGTCACCATGATGACGGTCCCAATGGCAATGACTAGGTTGGCAGCTGACAGAGATGGGAAGCTGGGGGAAAACGTGGCAAAGTTTCCTTGTGACACTGACAGCCATATTCCAACGCCCAGGAGCCCACAGCCACATAACTGAAAAAAAAGAAGAGAAGAAAGAGAAAAGATTTAAAATTTTAAGACACAGCAAGTGTTTTTAAAGTGGACATTTGGAGGGCTTCAGGATATGCATGTATGTTTGACAAGTGCTTGTATATATTTCAAGTTATTGCTATCACATTACTGTGATATATACACAATACTTAGTTTGGGTAACAACAATGAAGATCAATAACAAAATAAAAATAAAATAATAATATTTCAAAACAAATAATACAACTGGAAAAACAGATGGAGCCATCTAATAAAACTAGGACATTAAATATCTATCTATCTATCTATCTATCTATCTATCTATCTATATAATAAAAGTCAGTGTTTGTATGCGGAGGGAGGGAGGGCGGTGTATGTGGCAGCTTTCTGATTGGCTGCCACTTTTGCAGGCCACTGCAACCTGCATGGGTGATGGACCTGGACCAAACTAGGCACACATAACCCCCATGAACCCCTGTACGTCCTGGTACGGTTTGGGGGAAGGTAGAGCATGGATAATGGGATTTGCAGTACTTTCAATCGCTCCAGCTCCCACAGACCATAGCCATATCCAGCAATGATGGAACTGGGCCAAATTTGGCACACAGAAACCCCATGACCCACTTGACATGCTGGTGTGGTTTGGGGGAGGACGTGCCATGGATGATGGGACTTGCAATACCATTGAGACTAGCATGAATGATGGACCTGGGCCAAACATAATCCTCATGAACCCCTTCATGCCCTGGTGAAGGTTGGGGGATGATGGGATTTGCAGTACTTTCACCCGACTCACTTCCCACGGAACATTGTGACCCCCACAAATCACAGAACAGGACAAAACTTGGCACACAGAACCCCCATGACCCACTCTACACCCTGGTGCATTTTGGAGGAGGATGGGCCATGGAGAATGGGATATGCAGTACCTCCACTTACTTCCAAAGACCACGGTGACACTCACCAATGACTGATCAAGACCAAACTTAGCACACAGAGCCCCCATGACCCGTTCTCCATCCTGGTGGGGTTTGGAGGAAAATGGACCATGGACAATGAGACTTACATATGGGAGTTGTAGTTTACCCGCACACACTGACGAAACTTGATGTATAGACAAACAATACTCTTCTCAAATAACCCGGGCACCGCCGGGTCCCCAAGCTAGTAACTTATAAAACCAATGGCCATGCAAGCTTATACTGTACAGCAAAATATTGTTTAATGTGGTTCCAGGAAAGCTTTTCAGGGAAGGACATTCCATAGTTTAAATGAGGCCGAGGAGAACAGCCTTTCATCACTAACGCTTTGAATATTGACCTGAAAATAAATTAGTAGCTAGTGCAGACCTTTCACGTCTGATGTCTTGTGAATAAGTGCCCACTAGCATTTTCACTTCTGCAATCCAAAACAGTGGCAATTTCCAAGGATTTCTTTGAAGGGCAGAGTACACTGCAGTAATCCAAACATGATGTTGGGAATGCGTATGCTGCTATTTGTCGAGCAAACATTCTTCAGACTCTTGCTGTAAACAGAAGCTCATGTCATTATGTGCAGGTGATGGAAGAGGGATGCAGTATCCAAAAGCAGCCATCAAATATAATGTGCTTGTCTTTACAGTGCTAAAAGGCTCTCTCCTTTGGTTTGTTTTCTTTTATTATCTAAGCTGGCAAAAGCTAGTTCCAGAAGAATTGGAACTAGTTTTTGCCACCTTAGATAATTGCTGACATTCTGAACTATCCGGTATTAAATATATTTGTGTTCTATAGATTTTGAAGAAAAACGACCCTTTACTTTTAAAATTAAAAGTAAAGAAAGGAAGATTAAAGACTACAAGTGTCTAAAAATAAATGTACAGCTCATTGATATAATACATCTTCATTTTTCTCAAAACTCTCTGAAGAAAAACATTTAAATTCAATTGAGGTGCATGTTTATTTTTATGCATTTTACACAAATCTGAATTGATTCAGCTACATATTCTGATACTACCTCTAATGGAATGCCAGGAAAAGGTTCATTCAGCATTCAGTATCACCTGTATAGTATTCACAGAATCATAGAATCATAGAATCCTAGAGTTGGAAGAGACCTCATGGGCCATCCAGTCCAACCCCCTGCCAAGAAGCAGGAGAATTGCATTCAAAGCACCCCCGACAGATGGCCATCCAGCCTCTGTTTAAAAGCTTCCAAAGAAAGAGCCTCCACCACACTCAGGGGCAGAGAGTTCCACTGCTGAACGGCTCTCACAGTCAGGAAGTTCTTCCTAATGTTCAGATGGAATCTCCTTTTGATATCACATCAAAACTAGGTTATAATTTTCTAAATCCTGATGAAGTAGCGTGAAGGTGGATAAATATGCCAAAAATAAATAGTCAAGAAGTTCCAATGAGCAGTCAGGCTTTATTTCCTGAAGTATGGACTGGTTGGATCTTCTCGCGGTCCAAGGCACTCTCAGAACTTTCCTCCAGCACCACAGTTCAAAAACATCTATCTTCCTTTGCTCAACCTTCCCGATGGTCCAGCTCTCACATCCGTAGGTGACTACAGGGAATACCATTGCTTTGACTATGCGGATCTTTGTTGCCAGTGTGATGTCTCTACTCTTTACTATTTTATCGAGATTGGACATTGCTCTCCTCCCAAGAAGTAAGCGTCTTCTGATTTCCTGGCTGCAGTCTGCGTCTGCACTAATCTTTGCGTCTAGAAATACAAAGTCTGTTACTGCCTCCACGTTTTCTCTCTCTCTATTTCCCAGTTGTCAATCATTCTTGTTGCCATAATCTTGGTTTTTTTGGTGTTTAACTGCAACCCAGCTTTTGCCCTTTCTTCTTTCACCTTGATCAGAAGGATCCTCAGCTCCTCCTCGCTTTCAGCAATATCATTCAAGTAAAAAAGCACCCCTTTGTACAGTTACTCCCTTTGGGAAAAAATTCCAATGCTCTTTGTCACAGAAAAGACAAACAGCTTGGGTCAGCCATCTTAGCCTCTCAGCAAAATTCGCCTTAGCTTTTAACCTGAATAAGCTCTAAGAAATCATCCTTCCATTTATTGGCCTAATCAATCAACATAAAGGAGAGAGAAGATTGGAAACCTCCTCAATTTAAGGCAAGCTTTTCTACTTCTGAATATAAATCTGACTAAATTTGACTAGATTTTTACATTTGTTTTTCAGCTAATCAACATACTCTTCATGTTGTCAAAAAGGAGGCCACCACTGATTACTTGTCTGCGGAGGAGAATATCATTCCACCAGCTTAAAAACAGTTTATTAAGAAATGTATGAAACTTCAAAGATAAAGATGAACTATTCAGGACCATGAAGGCTTCAATTCAAATAATATTCAACTGAAAAGAGTGTGGCAAACAGTCCACATTCCAATACACAGCTAAAAACTAAGCCATTTTAATTAGCAGCTAATATACGTTCTCCCCTAGTGGATAGCAAAATGGTAATTAATTTCTTGCAGTTGCAGAAAACTGAAAGATGGCACAAATACAGATTTTGCAAATATTATTGGAATTTTAAAAAGCTTTCTCAAGATCAAAATTAAACAGGACCTTAAAGATATAATAACAGAATCCAGGCAAATCTTAAGTATCACAAAGAAAATCACAGAAAAAGAACAAGAAGCAGAAAAGATATAGTACAACAGACTGATCAGGAATTATCAGCTCAAAAGGATGACAGGACAATAACAACAATAAAAATAATAAATGACAAGGATGGGGAAAATGAATAGATTCCCATAAACCGATTGTGTATGCAGATGCGATTGAAGTAGGGAGGTGGATTCAAACATCAGACAGAGAAAAACCTAGGAATTTCACAAAGAAACACAGGATAACATTTAAGGCATTTAAGCCTTTAAGTTCTGCTCAAATAGACAAAGCCTCTGCTGACTGTACGAGAATCCATTTTGATGGGAGAAATACGTTGAAATTAAATAAACAATTTGCTATTTGAAGGCTGGAATGTTGTACAAGAAAAATATTGGGAATGCCCTGGGATGAAGAAACCAAAAATTTTGGAAGAATTAAAATAAAATACAGACTATTTAATCTAGGAGGATGGATTGGTGAAATAAGAATATTAAGAATGAATGGGGAAATACAAGCTACTATATAGAAACATGTTAAAATACAGTAAAATCAAAATTTTGGGGGACACTGCAATTAGTTATAAAAGATTAAATTACAATAATAAAATTTTAGTCAAAATGTTCAATTGGTTTGTATTAATATTAATTGTGGGCATATATTCATCTTAAGTATATTTATCTATGTTTAACAGAAGGTGATGCAATTAGTAGAATAGAAGTGTAACATTCTGATAGATGCCTTGATTAGATTGGATGAGGAGTCAATTATGTTTTTAATGTTTATGGAGTTTTATATGTATATTTTATTTTTATTAATTTTTTACTTTTTAAAATACTTAGGGGATAGAGATAAACAAGTATCTTGCTGGAACAACATGCTAAAGCTGCAGGAAAATTTTCATGAGATTCGGAAAATCATCAAGATTTATCCTTCTCCTGGATTGAACCATCACATTTCACTTTCCTCCTCAGCATATGTTACAGATAATCCAAAGGTCCAGCTTCATCAAATAGTGATCCATCTACGACAATGGAGCCTCAGTTAGTTCCCACATACCCTGTATAATCCCCACCAGAAATCTGCTCAAACTGTGCCCAAATAATGGAAGTTTTACAAAGATTAAAATATTGCATGGATTGAAACTTTTCACTTTGTGCATACTTGATACTAGAGATGTGAGCACTCATAATGTTGCTTCTTATATGCACATTGGTCAGGATAGCTTATACTTTTCATATACAGTGACATCTTGATTTAAGAGTTTAATTCGTGCCGTGACTGAGCTTTTATCTCAAAACTCTCTTATCTCAAAGTGAATTTTCCCATTGAAATGCTATTAATCCATTCTTCCCCACTAAACTCCTCCCCAATGTTTTTGTAATGTGTTTTTAAATAAGAAA